GGGTGATATCCTAAGAAGACACAAGGAGTGGAGCGTGGTTGAAGTTTGTGGTGAGTATAAGGGCGGTTTTATCGTTTTTGGAGATAGTTGGCGCCGGGGCTGCTTCATGACCATCAATCCATCCAAGGAGAAGATTAGCTGAAAGAGCTGTCTGGACATTGAGAGACCATGCCGGATAATTTGTTTCGGTGAGTTTTTCTGGGATTAAGTTGTGGAGACTCCGAAGCAAAAGTTTTACTCCGGAGGGTAAGGATGCCAAAGGATCCGACGGGGCTGTCATGATGGGCGGCGGTCGGAAAAAAAGAGAGGCTAGGTTTTTGAGAGCCTTAGCTCCGATACCATGATACAATTTGATAATAACTTGTCTTATTGAATATTGAGAGATATGGCCCTATATATAGGGAATACAAGAGTAATCAAAGTACAAGTAGGAAAGGAAAGAATAATCCTAGTAGGAAAGGAAAGAAGTATCCTAATTTAATTATACTTCCTAATACAACCCAAAAGAACAAGGACTAAATTGATACAAATGTTGAATTATTTTGAACATATGCCAAAAAATGATTAAAAAAGGAAAACGAAAAAAATTGTATTGTAGTTTAAATGACATAAAAACATAAAATTTTGGCGATAGATATGAACAGAGCTTTTTTTAATGCACAGAACAGTGAAAAATTAAATGATTAATTCAATTAATTTTCTATAAACATAAAAGTATAAGTGAAGAGAAGTGTATTTCAGGAAGATAAAGAAAAAAAGAGGAAGTGAAGTGTGAAGAGTAAAAATTGGAGTGCCAAAATGAGCACTGCTGTGTTTCAATTATTTTCCCTTTCTAATCCTTCACTCTCATAAGCCATATTTCAATTATTATGGTCGGTCAATCATTCCCAGCCCACTTGTATGTACTCCATATTTGAACAAGTTTTTATTTCTTTAATTTTGTTTAAGCTACAAGAATCAAACTGCTATCCTAAAAAAGGACGAGCTTCTTCTTCAAAGGCTCCCTCAGATTCGACCAGACCATATGAAACTGCTTTCGACTCGAGTTGGCAATATCACTAAAAGTTATTGAAGAATTTACGTAAATGGTACTAAAACATAATGACTTTTACTAAAGAACACTACATATGTTTTTATCCTCAATGTAACACTTTTAGTCATTATATATTAGTCATTATTCAAGTAGATATTTGTCATCATTGGTCATTATGGATATTATTAAATGTTATTTAGGAAAGAAAACAATTTAAGTGCTATTTAGAGAAATGACTTAAATTTTGGTGCTATATAGTGTAAATATTTCATATTATGAGTGTTTTGAAAAAGTTATATACATCTCTGTCCTTATTTTTATTACAATATTTCATTTTCATATACTTTAATTTTATGTCAAATCTAATAAATCTTTTTTCAAAATATCTCTAATTGACTAGCCTCATATCTACTTTTGCACACATGGGGGTGGGGATATAAATAGTGAGGGTATTTTTGTTTTAAGGGTATCCAAATATTACTAAAGTCGAATACTGTAATCCATTTTGAGACAATAAAAAATAAGAATATTGTAATCAAAATATGGACGGGGGAGTATAACAATACTACTCCTTCCGTCCCAATTTAAATTGCCTGTTTTGATTTTTGGGCATATTTAAGAAAAATAAAAAATAGAGTTGATTTTTTGAAATTGTCATTACTTTTTAGAAGGGGTGATGATGAATGAGAAGATAATGTGAAGAAGAGTGACTTATTTTAGGAGTAGTTTAGATATTTTATTTTTAAAAGTTTACGAAAACAACTAACTGGCAACTTATTTTGGGACGGAGAAAAAAGGCAAACAGGCAATTTAAAATGGGACGGAGGGAGTATTTTACTTTAATTTTATTAAAATTAATCTGCATTATTACAATTTAAAAAAAACTAGCAATACAATATTGAAAAACATCTTCTCAAAGCTTGTCAATAACCATAGTCATCGAGACTTACCCTCATGGATGATGAATATAGTACGTACTCATTATGTTTTTAGGTTTTGGAAAACAATTTCCAAAATGGTGGAATCGAAAGTAATATCTTTTGGGACTTAGCAATTCCAATTCAATTCTAAAAATACAACTAGATATTGGATTATACAATAAAATACAATTTTCTTCCAAAATAAGTTTCTAATAAATTATAAATACAATTTAAAATAAAGGGTCATATGGTTAAATAACATAACCATAGTTCTCTTATACAGGAATCTCATACAAGAGATCACATTTTCTTTTCACCTTTCCATCTTTTAACAACTTCTCCAACCATACTATGTATATTATACCTATTTATCACAAATTTTCGTTATTCTACAATTAATTTTTAATAAAGAAATTATCTATTTTATACTTTTAGATTACTCACATTTTTGTGTAATAACAATAAAATACAATTAACAACTGTGCTTGTTAAAATAGCAACTCTACGTGGTATATACTATATACTCTGTATAACAATTGAATTTGTTAAAACACCAAGCTTGGGATAACTTACCTACACCATTTTGGAGTGCAAAAGATGAAGTACAATTGCTAGTTATTTTTTACTCACCATCTCATAAAACTCTTCATGTTTGAAATTGTTAAAAAAATAGATCTAAGTTTTAATAGTTGAGATCTATCATAATTAAACAGGAATGATTAAAATAGTTTTAATGTTTGAAACTGCGATCAATCATAATTAAAATCACCAAGGTTCCCATGACATTGGGTTCCAATGTCATGGGATGACCCAGGGGTGTTCCGGTGCTCCGTTCGTAAAATTGAGAGTTCCTATCCCCGGTAAACCCCCCACCCCGCCCCAGCCCGAACACACCCTCTACCCCCGTCAATTGCACCCCACAAGTTGATTTTGACTCCAAAGTCAAAATCAACTTGTGGGGTGCAATTGACGGGGGTAGGGGGTGTGTTCGGGCAGGGTGGGGGGTTGACCAGGGAGGTTAGGGGGGTAGGAACTCTCAATTTTACGAACGGGACACCGGAGCACCCACGGGTCATCCCATGACATTGGAACCCAATGTCATGGGAACCCCACCCAATTAAAATAGATCATTTAAAATTGTTAAAAGTTGAAAATGATCTAAGTTAAAGGATTCCTTTTTGAAAGGTTGAAAAATACAAAAAAGTACTCCCTCCGTCCCTAAATATTCACAACATTTGCTTTTTTAGCAGTCGCGGGAACTTTTATTTATTTCGATGTTTTCATTGGTTATTTGATAAAATAAAATATTCTTGACACCTCTTATTTCGAAGAACTTTTCATGTAGTTTTTTTATATGTAAATTTTATTTTTTATTTTTATACCAATATGTAAATAAAATGAATTGAAAAAACTTGATATTTTGCCTCGGGAATACAAATGTGGCAAATAATTTGGGACGGAAGGAGTATATTGTGTAACTCTTTTGAGTGAATTTCGGGGATGTTTGGGTGAAAAAAAGAGATTTGTTTAACCCAACAAAATCCCAAAAAACTCTGGCAATATGTTGAAAAATGGTCCTCTTTAACTTTTAAATAATCCGTCAATGGCATTTGAATTTGTGATCCAGTAGTTTTCTTCTAGAAAAAAAAACAATGATGTTCTGCTGGGCCCTCACTTTGATCAATGAGGAAAAAGAAGTAGAATTCGTTTTTTTTCATAAATGGGAAATAAATACTTGGTCCGTCCGTCCCTGAGTGTTTGTCCACTTTTGATTTTTGAAACTGTTCATCTAAGCACTTTGACTCATCAAATTCTCTCAATGTGTAAGCATAAAAATAGTCAAGTGTGATCTTGTTAGATACGTCTTAACATATAGATTATTAATATATAATTTTTTAATATATAAATTACAAGATAAAATGGATTAAAGAAGTGTATTGAATGGTGTGCAAAAATGAATATGGACAAACACTCAGGGACTGAGGGAGTACTCCGTATTTTTTAAGTGCATCAAGACGTTTTTTTTGGGATAAATATTTATGTGCATCAAGTACGTAGATAGGGCACTATATTAAATCAATTTTCTCCTTAATTAAATTCACTCCATTTATAATAATTTAAAAACTTTATCCTAAGAATAAAAAATGTAAAAATAAATTTAAAACCTACTATATATTTGATGGGCCGATACCCAATGGGAGCCCCAAACCTCGGGCCCAAGAGGCGCTTGAGGTATCAATGGGTGTGTATACGACGATTCTGGGCCGGCCCAAAGGCTTGGGCCTGGACCAACCCTAATAAAGACAGCCGGGGGAGTCCGAATTGGAGAAGGAAACGCAGCTGGATGCAAAGAAGTAGCCGAAGGAAGGGGATCGCGCGAATCTCGGATTAGCTTCCATAAATTGTAAACTACTATAATTACGTAGATGGGATGTATAAATATATAGGACCCAAACAGGAACCCTCAGGCAAAACCTAGCGTAGAATTCTATAATTCTCGAGTTCTTTGTCCTTGTATGTTTAGCAAAAAAAGAGTATCTATTACAACACTTTATTATACTATTATATTGCCGAATAATGTCACATGAACTACGGTGTATTACTCCATATATAATATCATCGTGCAAAAGACCTATAGCCTATAGGGAGTAATTTATTTGTCCTCGAGAAGGTTATAAATAAACGTAGGGGATGACATCTTTGTTAATAAGCATCACTCAATTTGTCAACATATAATGTGAAAAGAATTTTGGTAAATTAGAGAGAAAATGGTGGAACCCTTTTGTCTCCTTTCCTTGTATCTCTTTGAGAACTATTGAAGAAATAAATCGTAGGATATGTCTCAACTAGGATGGGGCAAGTATCAACGGAATCATGCTTACTGATTATAGGACATTTAAACATCTCTGCCATATAGTGA